GCAGCTGACTGGGTCAAGGTGCTGGAATGCATGGCATTTGGGGAAGTTTCTCAGTAGGAATGTGTGACAGACAGGACCTGTCAGGGTAGTGAGGATCAAGTCCAGTGGGCTGTGCTCACACCCAGTGACATTAAGTCTGAGCTGAGATAAGAGTGTTTCTTCCCAGTCACCACTTTACTCTTACCTGTGGCCTTTGCTCCTTGTAAGTGGTGGAAATAACAATAGCCACGACCTACCAGTGGCTGCCTACCACGTGCAGGGACTTCCCATAGAAGAGCTCATTTAATTAACACCATGGACCTAGGGGATGGGTGTGTTTATTCCCTTTGTCAGAGGAGAAAGCTGAAGTTCACTAAGACTGAGTACCTTGTTTGAAATAACACAACTGGAAAGTATCAGATGATATCTTTTTTAAAAAAGATTTGATTTATTTATCATATAAGAACTGGGGTAAAGGCCAGAGATGTGGGTGGTAAGAGGGGATTCACCAGAGATGGTGGGGAACAGAACAGGCAGATCTACTGAAATACACTGCTGAGGGAAGCAGCCAGCGAGACAGGGGAGGTCTTCTATGCAATGTGGTTCAGCTCCCTGGCCCAGGATCAAACCTGTGGTGTAGTAATAGCTGTGGCTAGCTTCACAGTGCTATGCTTTAACCCATTATGCCACCAGTGAGGACCATAGATGACTTTTTTTTTAAGATTTATTTATTTATGCATACAGAACTGGGGTACAGGCCAGAGATGCATGGGCAGTGAGAGGATTCACCAGAGGCAGAGTGGGGAGCAGAACAGGCCGACTGACGAAGTACACTGCTGAGGGGAGCAGCGGGCAGGTCAGGAGAGGTCTGCCGCACCATGTGGGTCACCTTGGGGTGGGGATCGAACTCATGCTGCAGTGGCTTTAGCTTCATAGTGCTGTGCTTTAACCCGCTGCACCTCCAGGGAGGGCCCATAGATGACATCTTAATAGCAGATTTCTTTCTTTCTAGACCCTGTGGAGTTAGACATGGATGAGCACAACACCTCTGAAGCTGAATGGCCGTACCTATTTTCCAGCTGAGGAAGCTGAGTCTTGGACAAATGAAAGAACTCACCAAGAGTAGAGAGATGGCAGGAAAGGGCAGGACCTCAGGCACAAAGGGGTCTAATCCCAGTGTGTATATGCTGTCTGTGCCACCAGCTGGTCAAGGGAAGATCGCTGGGTTTGTTTTACTGCTGGGGAAGCCAAGGAATAGAGACAAAAAGAAAAGGCTGATACAGGAGGAAAAGTCTCTGGTGTGGTGGAACCCTCGCACAGGTGCCCCCAGACAGGGACCAAACTGAGACTAGCAGTTCTCTCCTTAGATTTAAAAAAAAAAAAAAAAAAAAAAAAAAAGATTTATTTACTTGTTCATACAGAACTGGGGTACAGGCCAGAGGAACAAGGGCAGTGAGAGGCTTCACCAGAGACAGAGGGGGGGAGCAGAACAGGCTGACTGATGAAGTACAAAGCTGAGAGCAGCAGCGGGCAGGCCAGGAGAGGTCTGCCGCGCCATGTGGTCACCTCCCAGGCAGGGATCGAACCCATGCCGAAGTGGCTTTCACTTCTAAGCAGTGCTGTGCTTTAACCCGCTGCGCCATCAGGGAGGGCCCTCCTTAGATATTTACAGGAAAATTAGAATCAAATGACTGTCAGGCGTATTCATGGAGATGAAGCCCCAAAGCAAACCGCAGCCAGAGAGATGAGGCTAGGAAGCTGGGAGAACAGCAGGTATTTTGCCCCAGCAACAAGGATGTGATAAATACTACTGTTGTCATAGTAAGAGCCATTATTCTTTGTTTTTCATTTCTTCATTATTCTTTCCCTGTCACCTTCCTGAATCATTATCCATGCGTAGGTCCCCGGAGGAGTGGACAGGACAGGTGGCAGCATGACTTGGCAGTGCCCCAGGGGTCTGGGCTCACTTGCCTCCCAGAGAACCCTTGGCAGACCAGCAACCTGCTGGTGGGGGCAGGGTAGGAACTGCCTCCTATGCCCAGCTGCGCAGGAAAAGCTCACCTGGCCCTAAGGGAGCAGAAGAAAGCTGACAGGATGAGGAAGGGGAAGTTAGGGTAGGAGGCAACAAGGCCCCCCCAGAGAGGCAATCCTGCGGATCCCCTTTCCCTGAGCCAGGGCAGTGCCCACACTCAGAGAACCATGGCCCCACACCACCCTGGAGAGGAGAGCCAAGAAGGCCCGTGAGCCTATCCCTATAGAATTTTGCATGTCCACCTTACCTGAGGGTAGACTGGAGCCCGTCCTAAGGGCCCAGGGGAGCTCATACTAGGCTCCTCAGCTGACTCCCTGTGCTCTCCTGTGGGTCAGGCACCCGCTGGCAATCTCTAATTCTTTCTTTCTTCTTTTTTTTTAAACCACTCTCTTATTTGGGGCAGAAAGAATGGCAAGTTAGTGCTTGTCCTCCAGTCCTACACATAATTGGTGGCAGCAAAACTGCTTCAAGGGGTGGGGTTTGCCAATGGCATGAAAGAGGAGGGAGTCCTGGAGCGACAGGGCTGGAAGGGACCTCAGAGATCACCTGAGCCAACCTTTCTGCAATCTCCACTCCACGGAAACGGCCACTGTTCCCATGATCCATGTATTTCATCCCAACAATGAACTTTCACATCTTGCCAGGGTCCTTAAGACCTCAGTCCTTAGGCTTCTGAAAGACACTGTCTGCTTTCTACCGCCAAACCTATCCACTCTCGTTTTATAGACAGAGGCACCGAGGCCCACGGAGAGGTGACTTGTCCAAAGGTAGTCTTCATCCTAAGACAAAGCTGGGACAAATAAACCCAAGTCTATTTCCACCCTCCTATTTTTCCCACTCGATCCCTAGGGGAGGGAGGGCTCAGTTATTCTTCCTGGGATCTAGGCGGCCTCTGCCAGATCTCACCTGTTAAACTCAGCTGATGTGGTCAGTACCAACGGCTCAGAAATGGGCTTTTCCAAGGAGATCCTGGTCACTACTCCTTCTTTGGGGGGTAATCTGAGGACTTTGAGTGCTACTCCCTGCAGAAGGTGGACTCTGAAGCCCAAGACACGGGACCTAGCACCGTCTCAGTGTGACTGCAGCCCCACACGCCTAGAGAGCCCTCATCACCCTTCAAAAGGTTCTTCCTTGCCCTAGGATGTAAGAGAGGAGGCAGAGGCAGTAAGTGTTTCAAAAGGTGTTTGTGGCCAGGGACACCACTCTTCTGGCACACTTTGTCCCCATTTAAAAAAAAAAGATTTATTTATTTATGCACACAGAACTGGGGTACAGGCCAGAGGTGTAGGAGTGGTGAGAGGACTCACCAGAGACAGACTGGGGAGCAGAACAGGCAGATCGAAGAAGTACACTGCTGAGGGGAGCAGCGGGCGGGTCAGGGGAGGTCTCTGGGCCATGTGGGTCAGCTCCCTGGCAAGGGATGGGACTGGCACAGGAGCAGCCACAGGCAGGCAAGCTTCATGGTGCTACACTTTACCCATTGCTTAGGGGTGAGGGCACTTTGTCCCTGTTTAAAAAAGAAAAAAAAAAAAAAACAAGCAAATACGCCGTTTCTCTTTCTTCTGCCCCTGCAGTAAGACAGATGAAGGGTTAAGAATGGTCAGGATCACCTCGTACTGCGTTAAGGGCAGGCTTGGAGGAGCACGCTGCTGGTCTTTGCTTCTGCACACATGGACGTGGTGATGTGGCTATCCTGTGGCCCTGTGCGAGTGTTTTCTATGGGAGCCCAGGTCTGAGTGGCATGGCTCAGCGGGCTACCTCCAGGGCCTTAGCCGCGAAGGCATCTGTCCCAGGGCTGGCAGTTCCAGCAGCAGTAGAATTCAAGTGGACATTGCCTTAGGAGCGAGGGGGGAATCCTGAGGGCCGGTATCGTGGAGGGTAAAGAATTAGTAGGGTGTTCCTCGGCCGAGTGTTGGAGGCGCTCTCAGTTCTGGTGGTCCCGTGGGACCGTGTCCCTCGTGTCGGGTTGTGTCAGTGGGCTTGCCCGAGTCTCTGTGCGTTCCGGTTCCCCCAGCAGCCCAGACACCCCGCTCCCTCTTTGTCTCCTCGTGGAGGTGTGCGTGCAGATCAGCGTCGCACGGCTCTCATCGCGTGCGAGCCCGGGGGCGCACCCAAGCTCCCCCACTCTTTCCGCGGGGAGAGGACGAGCCAGAGCCGGGCGCTGTTTGGTCTGGAGCCGAGCGGGGCTTGCATTGATCCATTGATTGTGCGCGGTCTGAGCCTGACCTCCCTGCTCCCGGGGAAGCCGTCTCCATGGAGACCGGGCCCGCTCCCCCAGCGCCGGATTGTAAATTCCTGCAGGCAGCGGCCCGGCAGCCTGGGGAGGGGGCCGCCGCGCCCGGGCGCGCAGGGGGAGCGGCCGCCGCGCCGAGGCCCCATTTGAAAGAAAAAAAGGCACGAAAAAGGAGGTGGTGGAGGAGGGGGGGGAGGAGGAAGAAAACGAAAAGGAGCGAGGAGAGGAGGAGAAAGAGGAGGAGGAGGAGAAAGGCGAAGAAAAAGAGACGGAGAAAGAGCGAGAGGAAGAAAGAGGCAGAAAGGGCGTGTTTCTGGCGCTACGTTTCCCCTCCCCTTTCTCAGGTCCCTGGCTAAGGCTCTGCGCGCTCTCCGGCTGCAGCTCTCTCCAGGCGAAGCTGGGAATTGGGTGGGATTATACCGAGCAGCCCCGCCACCGCCGCTAGCAGAGCCTGGCTTGAAGAGGGCGGGGGTTCCCTTCCGTCAGCGGCGCCGGGCGCCCCCAGTCTCGCTCTCCCCGGCGTCGGGCCGGGAGAAGCCGGCAGCATCGAGAACCTCCGGCCGAGGGCGCCGCGGTCCGCGCCTCACGCCCGCAG